TTTTTGTGAAGGAGTAACGAGTTAAAAAATGGCAAGAGGGCTAAGTCTGAAAAACAGTGGTTAAAGAAGGGGGCGGGGGAGGGGGGGTCATTGTACGTACGCCATAAAAGCCTTCATCATCTTGAACTGTCGGAAGAATCGCATCCTCCGAAGTTTGACCATGGTCTTCTGTTCGAACCTCCAGCGTCTGAGAGACATCCGACGGGGAAGTTTCTAAAGGACATATATAATAATAATAATAATAGATCTAATAATAATAATAATAATAATGATAATAATAGTAATAATAAATTACATTTCTATAGCGCTCAACGCCGATTAAAGTACACAGGATCTGAGCGCTTTACAATACAGTACAACATACAACAGTAACATGAAACGTTGTGTTCTGACTAAAGAAAACTACTCCAAATATTCATCTTATTAATTTAAAAAAAGAAACGACATCAGCTGACATTTGAATGAATCAAAAGATTGAAACTATTCTCCGTTTAGGATGAGTCTTGGGTGGTACTTGGTGCACAATATGACAAGCCTCCTTTTTACAGAAAAGATACGGTGCGAAAAATGTGCGAAATTGTACAGACTCAACGTCCCTTGTAACATTGTAAGGTTGTTTGAGTGGCGGGAGAGATATCATAACGTCATTATAGTCCTAGCTTACTTAAAGCTATTTAAAAGTCACAGTCGGTCCGTGGGTGTTTGGCGGGTGCTCTGGTGTGGTTTGCTTCTTCTTTCCTTTCAAACATCTATCGTCTTTATCTCCCCTCTTTCTTTGTTGTGTTTGTTGCTCTCTTGTAACACCTCTAATCTTCGGCACTTATATGACCTTATTGTGTTGCAAGTGCCGTAAAACTCTTACTAAAACTAAAACTAAAAACTAAACAGTCGGTCCTTTCGGAGACGGACGTTAAACTAGGAGGCCCCGCCCCTTAAATAACCTAATAGTGTTGATAGAGGCGTTAAACCCATACCGTTTCACAAAAGTCACAGTACACTATCAGTGCGGCCTAATTAATACTTGTGACAGGTCCCACAGATTGTGTGCACTCCTGGGTTTGTTTGTTTTGGTTTTACTTTTGTTTTTCCCACTTGCGGTATTGTGACCTTGTACTTCTTTCTTGTCGTATCTCCATTTTTTAAAATTAAATATTGAAAATGTGACATCTTCTTAAGCTCACTCTTTGTTATGAACTGTTTTCACTGTTATTAATTAAAACTGGAGATGAGACAAGAAAACACTTGGGTGATAGATGCAGTGTTGATGAGATTCTGTTTTTTTTTTGTTTGTTTTATGTTTGTTTGTTTTATGTTTGTTTGTTTTATGTTTGTTTGTTTTCCCGCTCAAGTAATCTATGACGTTGCTTCTATCCCCAGGTCCACAGCGAGATCAAACGTATCTGGTGGAGACGGCGCACACGGAGACGGGATAGCGTGGCCACTCGCTCCTTCGTCCTTTCCTCCTTCAAACGGGGCTCCTACCACAACAACCGCACGGCCATCAACAACGTCAATCACCAACACACCACACCCAATCAGCAACAGCCTCTCAATAGCTCCGCCCACCTGTCGCGCTCAGACAGCGCTGACGTCAAACAGGAGGCGTGGTCAGGGAGACTCAAGAACAACGTGCTGAGACTTCTGCGCAGGGGGCGGAGCTCAGAGAGAGAAAGAGGCGGCACCATCAGGAACTCCACGTCTCCTTTTAACCTGAAAGACGACTGCCGCATGGAGCTGTCTCGGATTGAGAACAATGACGACATCGACGCGCCCATGAGGTTGGAAGACAGCGAGAGGAATGAAGATCCCACCTCGTCCGGGTGAAGAGAAGAATCTGAGAAACGAAGGAGAAGAGACTTAGAAAGAGACATACTAATATGTGCCAAAGATACGTTTCCAAATGCCACAAAAGGCAGCGTTCCCTGTGTTCGGGTGTTTGCCTTTGTCACAGATTGAGGTCAAGATGTGACCGTCTCGGCGCAGAGAAGAGCGGGAGACGACGTGGACTCACGACCCCGCAAGCTTTGCGATGACCAAGAGAGGGGGCTGACCATGTTGTGTTCGGTTCATTGAACTGTTCAGGAGACTTGGTGTACTAATCCAATCACCGACGGGACCCTGTGTTTGAAGAAATGAGTACCCGCAGCACCTACAGAGAAGATACAGGATCTTTATTGTCCAGATCCTGGCGCGGTGGTTTGGTGTTTCACCACGTATACACACACACACACACATACACACACACACACACACACACACACACACACACACGCACACACACACACACACACGCACACACACACACGCACACACACACACAAACACGCACACGCACACACACACACAGACACACACACACACACACACACGCACACACAGACACACACACAGACACACACACACAAACACACACACACTCACACACACTCACACGCACACACACTCACACACCCACGTCCATTGTTCCACTGTGTATACAGCACCCAGTCTCAGTTCTGAGATGATCAAGCAACCAGTCTCAGTTCTGGAAACAGCTTGGGTTGTCTACAAGGATTTCACAAAAAAAACCTCCTTGAGTAGCCAGTGATGTAAGGTCGCCAGTGATAGATGACAGGACAGGCTATCTTTGCACTCTTGAGATGTGTAAGCCGCGGTCTGCACCTCTCCCTCAATTATGCTTGACCGTACGGGTGAAGCAAAACAATACAACGGTTATGATAGAATGAAACAGAACGAGCATGGAGAATCCCGTATTTGATTTAGTTCAGGTTCCTGTACGCAAAGAGATTATGTCTTGTGGACACACTGGTGGACAAACTGAGAATGTGAGAGACGATTTCTGACGGAGACGTCGTATGTACATAAAAGCAGCATAACTGCCATCTTTTGATGTCTGATACTGAGTCGTCGGTGGTCTAGTGGTTAGGCTACCGGACTCGTAATCGTGAGGTTGTCGGTGGTCTAGTGGTTAGGTTACCGGACTCGTAATCGTGAGGTTACGGATTCGGGGGTTCGAGCTGCGGGACCGACGTTGTGTCCTTTGGTAAAACACTTGACATTAATGTTCCTCACTTCACCCAGGTGGGAATGGGTACCCGGCTATAGACAGCGAAAGTTCTTGTCAGTATGTTTGTGTTTTAGCGCCTATAAATGGCAGCTTGCACTGAATGCTTCTCAGGAAGTTGAGGTTGTTTCAGAATGCTCTCAGGTCTGCTGGGGTAATGGTATAGATTGTGAAGCGCATAGAGCTTGCTGTTGAGCGGGGATTTGCGCTATACAAATGCTGTCTATTATTTTTATTGTTATTATATTATGTGAATATGTATATTTATGAAGACGACTGTCTTGAACACAGGAATTATTTTTAAAAAATTGTAAAGCAAAATCCAAGAACTCATTTTTTGCTTATTTTGGGTTGCACAATAGGGTGAAAATGCTGTAACAATTTCACTTTTTCTGTAAAGACGTGTTAAGAAATGTGTCAAGCAGTTCAAAAACACACACTAACATTAGGAGGCATAGATTCTACCTCTACTACACATCTAGAAACGACAAACTGGTGTGTGTCTCCGATACCCTGTACAGTATTGTGATGTGTTATGTGCCACTCCTCAGCGAACAAAAGCATGTTGTTGTCTTATTACTGGCATTCTTTCCTTTTTGGACAAGATTTTTGTTTGTTTATTGTTGTCTTTGGAAGGTTTTTTTAGGGGGGGGGGGGGGTTAAAATGTTAAATGATTGTATCCCCCTACTAGACAAAAACTCGTTCTCTCGAAAGCAGACGCAGACTTTTGGTTTCAGCAGTCTTTCTACTCTTTCTCTTCCTTTTTGTTAATTTTCTTTTATTTGAGGGGGTTTGGCACGGTGGGTTGGGGGGAGGGGGGGAGGGGGGGGTGGGGGGCACATCAGCAGACATCTCAAACAGTGATGTACAATACAATATTGATAAGTAGCATTTCCTCACGTACAAAACTGTCTGGACTGACCATGAGGATGGGCTGCTCTGAGGAACTCGGCAATTTGTCGCTTTGGTGACTTTTTGACTTGTACTTCTTTTCTGGAAGCTGAGCTCTTTTTTTTTTGGGGGGGGGGGTGAGTGTTTTACGGCGCTCGCAACTGTATAAGGTTATATGAGCGCGCGGGACACATTGAACATTTTAGTTAGAAAAAAATTAAAATTAGGTCCGGGTGGCTGCCAAAGCCTACTCTTATCGATTTTAGACCAACAAGGGGTCTTTAACGTGCGCAATTGCACTCGGGACCTCCGAGATTGTTCGCCCTTGTTCCTCCCAGAAGATCAGGGGTGTGGCTGAAAGACAGCAGGAAGAATGAGACTAAAAGTAGCAGTAGAAAGGCTGCAGAAAGAGTCAGGAGCTCAGAGAAGGGGGCAAATGAGATGGAGGGATGGGAGTAGAAAGTGGAGACAAAACATTGCTAAGGAGCAGGAATTGAGTTGAAAGGAGACAATGTTAAAGAAGATAATGTTTCCATTGCTACTCGGGACCTTTGAATGAGAGGCGAACACCTTAACCTCTAGGCCACGAGAGACCCCCAAACTGGGATCTTCCTGATTATCATGCACTTAAACGTTTTCTGTTAGATTATTACAAGAAGCTGAAATATTGATTTTTAGCAGTAACAAAAAGCGAAAAAGAAAGAACACAGGAAAAACACGCGTTCAAAGCTACATCATTTCTTTCTTCTTCACATCTGAATGCAAATGAAAAATAAATTGAGAAAAATTATTTAAATGTCGTTTTTATGAGAAACAGCACTTGGCTTATATTCTGTAATGGTTGGACATTTCCCCGCTATGTATAACTCTGAATCGATCAGAGGTGACATCACCAACTGTTTTTGCCGATACCTCAATTAGCCACAGGTTTGATATTATAGTAAAAACTCTTTCCGTCAAAGGTAAAGGCATTTTTGGGGAAAATCCAAAGAAATTGGGTTTTAAACATCGTCGATCGGCGAGATATGACGGCAAAGTTTTAGCAGCAAGCTCCTGATTTCCTCTGGCACATAATGGAATTGCCTAGATACCAATACCTCAGTCGTAACAACTTGTACATTATTATAATTGTGTTTGTTGAATTATTGCTTTACTGACACGCTTCTCTTCAGCCGAGTCCGTCATCGTGTTCAGTAAAGGAGAGTCTAATGTGGTGATCAGGTCAGTGTCCTGTGAACGTACTAAGGATCTACATGTGGAATCTTGTACTATTCTGTGGGCACCGTTCTCGTGTCTCTCTCGTAAGTTGATCTGACACCAGGTGATGACTTTATTAACGTCATCATCAGTAAGTTGTTATTAAATAATGTGTGAGACAGTGTGGTGAAATCAGGCACGCGTCACAATAAAGAAAGTGAAGAAACTGGCATTTTTTCCTCCGGTTTGTCAATTTTTATATTGTTGTTTTTTGGCCCAACACCTTTGATGTCCATATAAAAAACACATTGCCATAATTGATTCTACTTTAATTTGTTGATTAATGGCACTAAATATGTAGATTTTCAGTTTTCAAGAACTCTCAAGCTATAAAACTTACACAGTTTTGGCGGCCATTTTTATTGAACATTTTACCTCTGAAACCATGCTACCCCCACCTCCTTCAATTGCTAATATTTCGGCATCTTTTCAAGATAGATAGGTGGGTTTCTTTTCACAGAAAGCAAGGCAAAATAAATGAATAAGCTTTCAAATAGTACATGCCCAAAAATTGACGAGCGCCTGATTCCACCGCGTCGTGCCACCAGTTATACACCATCATCACAACTAACTTTGTCCCGTTGTCCTGTGATACAGCTGCAGCAAAAGGAGGTCGACAGAGCTCTGTGATATTGAGGAATGTCAAATGTTGTTGTATGTGATAGCACTGTCAAAGAACGTGTTTTCTCTTGTGTACATAGTAAGTGTAGTGTGGTCGGCCGATTCTTTGGCTGAAAGTGCTAACATTGTTCAGATTAGTAAAACACAATCAATCTAAGAATACAAAAAAACAACACAAAACAGACCATGAAAGTTACCTATAACAATATCTTTATATGCACAGAGATGAATCTCAGTACCAGAATTATTGGACTATTTAGAATCACAATCCTAGGCTTTGTCCGCGCCTCATGTCTCACCATAGTTTAGTACTGGTGCAGTGTCCATAATACTTGATAGAGGTTGTCGGTGGTCTAGTGGTTAGGCTACCGAACTCGTCATCGTGAGGTTGTCGGTGGTCTAGTGGTTAGGCTACCGGACTCGTCATCGTGAGGTTGTCGGTGGTCTAGTGGTTAGGTTGTCGGTGGTCTAGTGTTTAGGCTAACGGACTTGTCATCGTGAGATTGTCGGTGGCCTAGTGGTTAGGCTACCGGACTGGTCATCGTGAAGTTGTGGGTTCAGGGGTTCGAGCCTCAGGCCCGACGTTGTGTCCTTGGGAAAGGCATTTTCCACGAATTTTGCCAGACGGACAGACCCGTTGTTCACGTAGCAAAACGAGTTTGTGTTTGTTTTTTCCGGTTGGGGGATTGTTTTGTTTGTTTGTTTGTTTGTTTGTTTATTGTTTGGGTTATTTGGGGTTTGTTTGTTCTATTAAAAAAAAAAATTTAAACTTTTTTTGGGGTCTCAGGGCCCGAAGTTTCCCTCTTGTAAGGATAGCGAGGGCCCCCTAAAATGTTTCAGTCCACAGTGCCATGACAAGAAATGACGTGCTCTTTTCCTGGGCTAGTTTTGTGATGTCTTATATTGTTATATTATTTTTTTACAACTGTTTTCAGGAAAATGCTTTTCGGCTGTTCTCTCTCTCTCTCTCTCTCTCTCTCTCTCTCTCTCTCTCTCTCTCTCTCTCTCTCTCTCTCTCTCTCTCTCTG